GGCAACTCATTCGTCAGATGGACACCACTGGCACCGGGAGAACAGATTTCCATCGTCTACCAGTCTGAACTCTCTGCGGCGGAGGCGAACTTCTTCTGCTTCGGTGAGGAGGGTGCTGACAGCTCCGGCAAACAGGTGGTAGGATTGGTTCGAAAGGCGGAACCACTGACTATGTACCAGCCCGGGGCTGTTCGTCCCATACAGGAAATGTCTTCCGAGGAGTTTCTGAAGAGCCGTGCCCTCTCGGCCTACTGCAGTGATGCAGAACTCCAGGAGTCCGGAATCAAGACAAATTACTCCGCCTACGATGCATTCACCCTTGTCTCCTGGCAGGCTAATGACCGCGGTGATGGGCGACTGGAGTTGTCAACTCTGGGTCGACTGTTGAAGCTCACTTTGGTTGGAGCTCGGTTACCGAGCTCTGGCGAGATTATTGCAGCAGCAGACGCCTTCTATCGCGGCGTCCTTCGGATAGTCTACTTTGATGAGGAAAGCTCAACCATGCTCACGCTGCCGGCGGCCATCAACACTGGTCACGTTATTGTCGAGAAACAGTATCCCCCGGGCCTAGGTATAGCTCTTCGCGGAGACCAGGACAGGTACCCGGTGCAGTCAGAGGTTGTTTGGAATACACCAGAACTGCGTCACCGATCCTACAAGGTCAACTACATTCGCAAGTCTGAAAACGAGAAGATTGACGTTCTCACGGCGCTGGATGAAGGCGTAATTGACCAGTACAGTGGAGAAATCGTCAACGTCACACTATCACCATCTATTAGCATGGGGGAGCCAATTCACGAGGCGAGAGAGTCAAGCGTTGGCTCCGGTGACACTGTGCTACGCAGGCAAAAGCCAGAACGATTCACAATAAATGAAGCAATACTTAATGACATTCTGAATGTGGAATTCGACGGCCAGGAGACAAGTGTACGCGTCGATTTGACAGCAGAGTGTACCGAGGACTCGAATGGTTCGAAATCAGGCTCTGGCGAGCCCTCGGAAGTGGACATATAAAGGAAAGGATTATATTTCGTTAAGGAGGTTTGCACACCTCCTTGAACTTTCAGGAACCAAATCTTCAGAAACATTTCTATTTCAGCACTGATCATCACAGTTCATTTTCATCAACCTTCTTCATTTCCTTTTCCTCATTCACTGAGGGTCAACTGAATTTGTCAAAATTATATTGTGTTTGTATTTTAGAAACTTTTTCCAGTCATCCTCCCTGAGGAAAAAGAATTCAAATATAGTTTTTTTGTATTTTCACATCCTCAACGAGTGGTTTTATATAAACCAGAAAAAAAGAATTCTCTACTTACTGTAAACAAATGTCGACTTTGCTCAACTGTCTAACAGTAAACGGGTGTTTAAGATCTCAGGAAGTTGCCCAAAATAGAACCCCCTGAGCATGTGGGTGCGCTTCTCGTAATTAACGTTACATTGACCGCAACCTAGCAAGGTGTGCTCAATCAGATCATATTCGTTAGCCAGCGTCAGCAGATTAAGGAACGCGGGCAGAGCCTCAAAGTTGTGTTGAAATAGTGTCATGCTAACATCCAATTAGGTGTTTCCCAATTGAAAAGACGTAAATGTCATCGCCGGGTTCTAAAAGGGTGAACACGTTTACTATCCGGTTACTTACAAATTTTAACTACGTTGGATTTTCAACAAGCTCCCAATTTTTGGGACGCCGGCCATTGGTCCAGTAGGGATTGGATGATGATATTGAACTGTAGAGGGGTCCTCGGAAGGCCACCATATACAATAACAGCTTAAGTCATTTTATTAAGTGAAATGGCTTTTAAAATTAACCATGGGAATAACCGCTTAGTTACAAGTTTTAAGTAGGGCTAGTTATCACAGTGTTCCACCGTCTTCACTCTTTCACCGTTATTCTAGTTGGAGTTAGCTCTATTACTAAAAATATACCTCAATGACCTCGCTTGGGGTCAGCGAGCACCCTTCCCCGACATACGTGCGCTCGCTGTCGGTCCAGTAGGGGTTAGCGATGATAGTAAAATGAACGTCAGTGTCCCCGCCCGAGGTTAGGGCACGTCCCGTAACTAACCCGCGTAACTATTTCAATTTACATAATTATTGCGCATTGAACTGTTCCTCCATACGCTCCACCCATTCTACACCCTAAACCCAGGTGCCCGTATTGGAGTGGAGCGCGCTTCGCTCGCATTGTGGGGACCCCACTATAGATCCGTACCGAAGTTTATTCCCTCAGCCTTTCAGAGTACAGCTCGAACCTATCTTCGAAGACAGCGTCAAGGAGCTGCAATCGCTAGGCTCCTGCATAGTTGTGACAATTAATGGCTCCCCTTCATCGATGTTAATTAGCCTATGTTGCCTTCATGCGGGTCGTTTTCTGCTGAACTTTCATCATCCGTGTTGAAAGTTGGCGGGGTGATCGTCTGGCCACCTGGCTAAGCAGCACTGAAATAAAAAATGCCTGTTCCGTTGAGCGCTACCAGGGTGACTAAGTGTTTAGGCCAAACCAAGGCATTTCAGGTGTAAATGGACTGGGAGCGCGTAAACCGACTGTGCCTACTTCTTTGCAACTACATATGCGCTCTTGGTGACGCGAGTGCGGGGTTCATTGCAAACCCATCAATTTTTAGCGTGCATTTAAGGCCGACGATAGGGCCTCGAATCGTAGTTCGTTGCTTTTGGCGTTAGAAGAATTCACCTGGGTCAGATCTGGAGGTCCTCTCTTGCCACAAGTCTGAATGCCTGACTGCTTGCAGAATCGGGCGAAGGCAGCTCACTTAAGTCTCGGGGCAGCCAAATAGGTTAAACAGTCGCTGTTTCGTCTTGCTGACTTCTTTGACTATATATCCAGCAGTCGTGCGTACGTCAGACCCACTAATAATAATTATCAAGGCAGTATGGTACTATAAAGCAAAATAGTAAAGATAAATAATGTGCAAACCTCAACGATGCATGCACAAACTCAAGAATGAAGGGAGTCAGCCAAATTGCCTAATTATATACAAGGGAACGATACACGTTCTACAACAATGCCACTCAGGACAGAACCAGTCTTGGGGAAGCCTGTATGTGTTACTTTTACGTGATTTCAGAAGACAGTTATTATGGGCTCCTATTGGCCTGAAACACTAGCGTGAAAGGGGGCGGACGTGTACAGAAGTAATACTG